AACATTTGTCATTATTACTATTCTGGTTAAAATATCGTTACAAAAAAAAAAAAAAAAAAAAAAAAAAAAAAAAAAAAAAAAAAAAAAAAAAAAANAAAAAAAAAAAATCAAAATTGGCAATTTGCTTTGCTTCTTTTCAAAGCAAGTTTCAAAAAATTGAATTGGCAGTAAAATAACAATTGAAGTGAATTTCTTTTTTAACAGGAATGTCCTAATGCAGAGTTCTTCTAAGCTCTTAAAATTTAAAAAAAAAAAAATAAAAAATAAAAAATGGTGACTACACTGAAACAACATATCGGTATTTCGATTATTTTGTGACCACTATAAATCATTTTTTAATGAAAATATATAAGAATTCTACCATATAAGATGAGACCCTATTTCGGACGATTTATTTATTAGTTTTTTTTTTTTAATTACATATGAGAATCGTCTTCCGATTCGAAAGTGTGAATAACCCGTGCCGCACTGACTTTATTGTTAATGGACTCACCTGAATTACTTCTTTGTGCAGTTGTTGGATATTTGTTCTCCAGATAAATGCAGTCTTCGCATCCTGGAGCATCCTTCTGCTCTGCACACAAGCTCGAGCTGAGGCAATCGAGGGGGAGACAACGATCATCTGTCCACTGATATCCTGCTGTACACGAGGTGCAAAGACTGCCACGGTGACCCGGTAGACATTTCACACACGACACTTGACCAGATGTTTCTGCAGGAAAATAAAGATTTACAGTACTATATACCAGGGTTTCCCAACTTACATGAGACCGGGGGCCGCAATTAAAAACACTAGTCAAATGGCTGGCAGCAACTATATAAAGACATGATATCCATTACCTGATATTTATTTATCAATACTTGATATTCATTACCTCCTTTATGCCTTTTAAAACATACAAATGTAAATAATTTTTTCCAAAATGAGAGGTTTCAAAATGTTAAATCGGAGAATTTCTTCGAGAAATTTGCTGATACGCACATGTTAAATTATATTCACACAAAAAAAAAGGAAAAAAAGAAACCGAAGTAAAAAAGAGCAATATATAAGATTATTTTTGCATTAAATAAAAATTTTCTTGGATGCAAAACCTGAGAAATAATCGTTGGTATGATACATTTCACTGAAACAATTTTTTTTTCTTCTTTTTTTTAACGAAAGAAAAGTATTTTAAACCCATATAGATTTTTTACGAAAATTGCCCGCAAAAAAAGGACAACTAATATATTTTAGTTCGCGGGTCACAAAAAAAATGCTTCACAGGCCGGATTGTTGCCCACGCACCTCCAGTTGGTAACCACTGCTATATAATAAGCCCATCTAAATACAAATTATTAATCCTTTCCGGACGAGACATTTCATATCATATATAGAATTCGTTATTTCATTAGAAATTTTATAATAAAATGCTTCCGCATTTTATTAACCATCACAAAATATTAATGCCTTCGATGATTTTTAGTGTTATTTCTTTAAATTGACGTGGCAATTGAAAGGAGAATATCGTTTAATATTTTTACGTAATGCATTTGTTAGTTTTTTTCCTACTGGAATATAACAGACATATATTTACCCATTTTACATTCAGCCGTGGATGTGACATTAGAGCATGGGCATACTACGCATTCTTTACCAGCTCGGAAGTTTCCTGGAGCACACTCCTCGCACCACGTACCAGCATACCCTGGTTGGCAAGCACACTCCACGAATCCTGGTCTTCTTGTACACGCCACCATTCCCATATCACTGCAATTGCAAACTATAAAGAAAGAAATGTTACTTTACAAAAAGTTTCGTTAATAAATTCAGAAAGAAACTAATTCGTGGAATAGAATTCATGACTTAACATATCTAGCGTGAAAAAAACTGCAACTGCTAAGCTTGACGTAGAAAGACCAACATATTTATAGCCAAATGCAACCCTTTNCAAAATGTTTTTTAATTCAACTTGTAAATACTTCATGATGAATGGGTTAGGGGCCGCTGGGCGGCCCAGGCACCCAGTTTTAGTTAAATAAAGAGAAAGAGAAAGGATATAAATAAGCTTTTAGCCCTGAATAAAACAGAATGACCATCAACCTGCATCCAAAACTAAAGCCACGCATGGTTTAAAGCAGTGTTTCCCAAAGTGTGGTACGCGTACCCCTAGGAGTACGGGAACAGTCTAGGGGAGGTACGCGTTCTTATGCGAAATGTCTTGCAACGAAAATTTCAAAAATTTTTATTTAAAAACAAAGTTAGCAATGAAAATTTACGATTAAGTATTTTTTATTGGCTATTTTTTGCAGAGTTAACAGTTAATAATTAGTGGTGTCAACAACCAGTTATAATTTTTAACTTATGTACAATTTTTTTATGGTAAAAAACACATTCATTTTTTTATTAGTGGTACACAGCGTTACGAAGAATACAAATGAAAAATACATACTTGTGTACAAAGGGTACACAAAAGTCATAAGTTTGGGAAACACTGTGTTATGGGAACATGGAGGGCTTTTGCGACTCGACAGAATTTTAACGTGCATCAGTCACCAACTACACTGGGAGTCTTCGGCCGGCGGTGTTTGAACCCACGAACTCTCGGACATAGGCCCAGCGCCCTACCGACCAGGTTATCCCGGCCTAAAAACAATGTTTTCATATAAACACCATTTGCAAAGCCCTAAGGTGGTGCAGAGGACTAAATGAGCTGCCACCTGTGCTAATATAGTTTAATGGTTTTTATGGAATGAAGCGCGTTCTATTGACGAACCTAATTGTAAATTTTGAAATTTGGCAAGGAAAAAAAATGTTTCCTGAATCGAACTTTCTGGCTCTTGTGTCAATAAACTTCCATGAACCAACCCAAACCGAAGTTAAACTATTTATTGCTACGTTATTTCATTTTTTACTCATTGATTTTTCAAATCGTCGTTTCATGTTTGGGTCACTTTCAACTAAAAAATATCTTAGGTAAATGTTGGAATAGCTTCGTCGGTGAAAAGGAAGATTAAAAAAAACATTACCTTCCGTGATTTTTAAAATAAAACATTAAAATTTTTTTACTGTCAATAATATGTAAAACACATAGAAGTATTTTTACCAAATCTAAGTAGTAAATTCTCTTCGTCAATGCTAATTAAAATATCCTAAAGTACTTTTACCGAAATAAAATTTTAACTTTCTTTTGTAAATTTTACGTACAATATACGGAAGCATTTTCACCAAAATCTAAATGGTAAAATATCGGTTAACATTTTTACGTAAAATGTACGAAAACTTTCCTACCAAAATCTAAATGGTGAAATATCGGTTAACATTTTTACGTAAAATGTACGAAAACTTTCTTACCAAAATTTAAATGGTAAATTTGCTTTCAACATTACGTAAAATATACAAAAATTTTTTTTACGTATTCCAAGTAATAAATTTGCTGCGTCAATAATACGGAAAATGCATAGAAGCATTTTTACTAAATCTAAATTGTTAATTTTTTTCAACCAATCTTTCATAAAATATACGTAAGCGATCTTACCCAAAAGTGGTTAATAAATTCCGTTAATATTACGTAAAATATACCAAAGTTTTTTATTTTTTTTATTAGATATTTTGATAATATTACGTAAAATTTACGTATAAAGCGCATTGACTTTACAGGATTCCCAAGGGCATTGAAAGTCTTAAAAATAAAACAAATGTCGATATTTTAATTTTTGTGTAACTACATATAAAAGTTATTTTCCAAAGAAAGTATATATGCATGAAAATTCCTGCTTCTAAACCACTTAACTATAAAGTGGTATATTAAAACACGAAATATCTTCTAACATTAACCTAAATTTACTACCACTACTAAAACTTTTCGCGGAACCCTGCTTTACCAATTTCCCAAAAATTTATGGTTAATTTACGTATGGGAAATATTACTACATGGGTTCTTACTAGCCTTGAATTAGAAGCTTTAGATACCACGCATTTTTTTCTGATCGGAGCAACCCTGCTTTAAATTGATTGTTTGTCTGGGAAGTTAAGGTGGTCGGTGAGCAATGCTGACTTATTTTCGCTATTATATGTTATTGGTGACAAATTGTGGAACTGTAATCTCCAATTCCCGTCAATGGGTCGTTTTTTTCCGATTTCTTACCTGGTTCTCCTACAGGTATGCCGTCATCTCCTACTGGTAAGTCTTGTTGTACTTCTGGAGGTATGTAGACGGTGAATTTAGGGGCGGATACTGTTACCAGTTTGTCATGACTCAATTTCTGAGTGTGATCACCGTAGATGGCAGACAGGAGAACCACATAGTGAGTGCTCTCACTCAATCCATTCACTTGTTTAGTTGTAATGGATGGGGGCAAAGAGAATTCCTTTTCCAAACCTGTAAGAAAGACAGTTGTTAGTAATGCAAATTTATATAGTAAGTTCATCCAGCTGTTTAACAAAAGCAGAGATGCCAACTTGCTCCCCTCAGGTAGACATTTTTTCTAATGGTAGCAAAATTTTTTTTTTCACTGTACGATTCTTACTTTAATAAAATTGATTAAAAATTATTTTACCCGTCACAATGTATATATAATTCTAAAAATTCATATGTTATACCACTTTGTAGCAGTCGTTATGTTAAGGGAGCATTTTAAAATGTTGACAAAATCAACAAAACTATTTTATAAGTTTTGGTTTTTAAGAATCTACCACTTTTTTTTAAATAAGAAACTGTCTGTTAGAATATTTCAGATTCAAGATTTTTGTACCATAGAACCATAGTAGTGGTAGCATACACAAAGTTCAAACAGTTATGCACTTGTAGGATTTTGAACATCATAAGATTCGTAAGAACAACATGGAGTTCATGGTCCGCTAGGTGCTCTATCCTGTTATGGATTGCCTGCTCCTGAGCATTTGAACCAGTACTTTTATTTATTTTAATCACCTTAACTTTATGTTTTCTGCTAGCATTGCCGAAGTTGCAGTTAAATGAGTACATAAATATCTGTTTTATTTAAAATTTATTGATTTGTTAATCGAATTCATTCCCTTCAGAGTTAGTCGCTAAACCCACTATCTACGATAAAACAGCTAAATCAGCAATTATTTTATTTTTATAACCGTCATTGAACATTCGTTTTGAGCGAATAATATTTTCAATATTTCAGCACGATGTTTTGGATTAGTTTTGGTACATGAAATATATTTTCTCAGGGAGAAGAGAGGATATAAAAGATTTATACGAAAATATTCGATAAAAAAGTCAAAATTTCAACACTAAATTATTAGTTCTTTGATGGGGGGAAATCGTGCTTCAGATCTTTTTTATTAGCAATAAAGCAGGGAAAAAAAGGAAAATACCAACAGTTGCTTATCATTTTATCATTGCAGGTTTAAGTTTAAATATAATCGAAAAATTGAAAAGAAACCGCTTTTTTTAAATTTTTTTTTAAGGAGATGCAACACTTTGATTCTCAATTTTTATTTTATTTTTCGACACTTTGGCATATGGCTAAAATCATTTCAAAAATTCCGAATACATGGAAGAATAGGCATGGCTTAATAAGATATTGTAATATTTTAAAAATCTATGTTTGATTAAAATTTAAATGCGCTTTTAATACCAAACTTCTTCTCGATAAATCAATAAAAATTATCATTCAGGGTTGTTATCAAATAAATTCAGATGTTTCGAGCTTTATAAGAGCAGAAAACTACTGAATTTGGAATTAGTTTTGCCGTTTTTATAACCATTGAATTTTTACTGTTTTTATAACCATTCAAAACATCTTTCAGTAAAAGTGCGAATAATTTTGTACAGTTTATACATTATTATAAAAAAAATTGGAATTCTAAAATGAGAGAGAGACTTTTGATTTAGCAATTTAATGTTCCGCAAATCTCAATGCCTTTGAAGCTCTAACTATCTTCTCTTGCTTTTAAAAGTGTAGCACAAAAATATGCGTGAAAAACGAACACACCTCAACTGTCACACGCCGATTTCAGATTTAAATATAAATATTAAAATTAATAATCTATTGTGGTAGACAAGTCTATCTTGTTTTTGCANATTATATATATGATTAAACTAACAATAATTAAAGTAAAAGCAAAGTAAGTCTGTCAAATTTGCAACGACTACATTTAAGTTACCGTTTTTTATTTAATTACAACTTGATTCCAATTTTGTACGAATGCTTTTCTGAATGACCCGTCCCCAAGGGGTTAAAGCTGAAATTATTCAAAATATATAACTTGCGGTGACAGTTAAGCGCTGTCTTTCTTTTTAAAGAAAATTTTTTTTTTTTTATCTTTTTTGTTTTGGATTATAGGCATCTTTTTAAACTGATAAGATGTACTTTGCATTATTTGATGTTTGTTTTTCATAAAAACAATCAAATTTAAGTAATTCATTTATCATTAAAAAGAAGGGGGGAAAACGAATATTTTAACACTGCTCTCATTCCAAAAGGTATCATCTACCGCAAGTTATGGTTAGAAAAAATTTGCTACATAATAAATAATACTATTTCTGAATGATTTAACTGTAGCCTTTCAAAATATTTTAAAAATTTTGAATTATAAGACTCTTCTGTGTAGTAGTAGTACTTTATTTACGTCGCACTAAAACTGGTTATTGACGACGGTTAGGAAGACATATCTGCGGATGATTCGCAAATCCTCTGCAAAGAGAATGACTCCGTACTTTGGTATCCCAACGACCTGTATGCTAACGAAGATCGATACCGCACATCCACGGTTCCTTCACTGCCAGATCAAAATGGTCACTTGCCCGCTTACTGACCGATGCCAATGTTCACACCGAAGCCGATGGTGTGTTATTGGAAACCGTATCTTTACGATCTGGGGGACATACTCTGGTGAAAAGTTGAATAGAATGAAATTGTTGTTTTCACGCAGTGCAAACGGAAAGGCATTAAAAATTCAAACTTACCATGTCCAGTTTGTGTGAGAGGCGTGAGTGTGAGTGAATAGGTGAAGAGTTTGAGATTTGGACCTTTAGGAATTGGTGGAGGCTTCCATGAGAGGTGGATTGATGTAGATGTCGTTTTCTCTACCAGGACCTCCAGAGGTGCTGACAATTCTGAAAAGAGATATGAAAGTGATAATTCTAGAATTTAAGAATCTAATATCGTAAGTTCAGTCAGTGAATATTTAGTTTTAAAATACTACAAACCACTAGAATTGTAAAACTAACTTGCTTTTAAACATCAACCTTTTATTTTAGCAACTAAACAACAGCTATTCTCTGAAAAGAACAAAAAAACTTAAGAGGGTCTTTTCACTTTCAGCGATTCCAACTTGCTTCGGACAGCGCATAAATATTTTCGAGTCTTTTAATGTATGATATCCGGCAATATATTGGCAAGATAATGGCCCTTTAAGACCTTGTTGAGCCGAGTTGGTGAATATTGGCCCAATGAGTTATTTTTCTGATAGGAGTTCTTGGTTTAGTAAATTTGATTTATAGAGTTTTTACTCACCACTGCTTCTAAATAATTCAAGGGCTTATGTGATAAGCCACTTAGTCACAGTTGATCCTCTTAAAAAGTCAACAAAATTTATTAAAAAGCTACAAATTTTAGTTCGTAATTCTCTACAGATTTTTAAAATATTTCTTCGAATCCAGAGCTGTTGGCTTCTCTGTTCACCTAGTTTTTTCCCTCCTTTTTTTAAGACTTGTAGTTGCTAATGTATTGCCTGGCTAAAATTTTCGGTTAAATTTGTTGTAGGAAAGGGATAAAGGAAAATTGAAAATAAATAATATTTTTGGACATCTATAGGAGGGTTTTAAGAAACACACAATATTATGAACAAAACAAATCAAGACTGCCTTAACACAATGAAGAGTTATAAAAATAAACAGGAAATTTTATTTCTATATTATCTCTAGCATATAAATCATAGGTAAATATCATTATAGTAAATGTAAAAAATGGTCATGGGTGATGAATATCGATGATTATGTTAAAATGTAAAACTATTTTGACGTTCATTCTTATACATGCATTATAGTCTAATCATGTAATATAGTAGGATATACTTTAATTTGCGACTTCAATTTTGAATCATTTGCGGAATTTAAATGCTTTTATAAAAATGAAAATTAAATCAAAACGAAAATAATCATACTTATGCAGTGAATATAAATATGTATGTCTTCAAAATCAAAAAAAAAATTGGTTTGAAAATTAACTCTGATATAGACATTGACAAATATCGTTTTATTTCATCCATATAAAAGAGCAGATAGTAGAATATACTTAATTTTGTGAATTTGCATACTATTTGCTAATTACAATGCTTTCATTAAAAGGAAAATTGATTCAAAAAGTAAATAAGATGACTTATTCATAATCTGGACTTAATTTGCCACGACTAAAAAATTATTTACTTTAAAAATCTGCAATTGTTATCGTACGGCATTGGTGTTCCAAATACCAACAAAAAAATGTATGGGCAAAATCTTTACTTGAAGCTAAGTTATACTGTAGTAAAGTAAAGCTTGACGTTTTTTTCTTTTTTTTCTTTTTTCTTTTTTAAATTTTGTTTTATCATAACTCATTCACATACACAATCTTTATTTTGCCAATCTGAACTTTAGAATTCAGTTTGACTGATCTAAACACCTATGCAAAAAACTTTTTGAAGTTGAAATGGAGAAGAAAAGTGTGAATCTGAAAGTGTATTTTGACGTATAATAATAAATGTCATGATTCATTTTTTTACCATCAAGTGAAAAATGTAATTTTCACATAGAAAAACATCTAAAGTCATCAACTAAAAGTCGTTCTATACATAATGATGTAGTTTTAATATTTAACCTTTGGCACTCCAAAGTCACCTCCGAGTTTAGACATCGAATGTCACCATTCTAAAACTTAACATTTTTATACTTAAATAACAAGTAACCACGTTGTTTTATGAATTACAAACTCTAAGTCTTACATTAAAAAACTAAATATATTTTACAACACACCATTAATGACAACACTTCTAACTTCATATTTCAAATCGAACTTATCTACGCAATATTCAATCCAATCACATCCTTCTTACGCTGTCCTTAGTACCATATACTAAGTAATAAGAACGCCAACATCCTCTTTCTCCCACTACAAATATTGGATGCGACCCTTTAGATGTTAATTAACACGTTGAATGCCACGCTAATTTTACATGGCTTACCCGTCTGGCCACAACGGTAAATAACTACAAACTAAATTTGCAAATATTAGACAGATTTTGCTAGTTTTTTAAAAGGTTTAGCATGACATGTCAGAAGAAAGTGGTGAATTATATAAGCCTACGAATTGTTTAGAAATAATGGTGAATAAAAATCTACTGAATTGAATTAATTAAACCAAGAATCACAATTAATAAACTACCTCTTGAAAATATTTATTCGTTGTCCGGAGCAAGTTGGCATCTCTGTGTA